GTGGTGTGCGGAATCTATACATTTCATGGGGATTCGTTTAGTTCATGCAATAAAAAAAGAGCCCTCGTGAATCACAAAGGCTCTGTTATCCTTCTCATTCCACACAAGACGCATATCACTTTGAAACTTATTGCATGGCCGAACATCCGTAATTAGACTCGCACCACAGCAAATGGGTAGATACAGTGAAACCATCGAAAACGTCATCATATTCACTTTTTTTTCTTTTCTTTGCTTGTTTGTTTTCAGTCTGTGGACGTCGACTGGCCTCCAAAGAAAGACTTAAACAATGTAGAAAACGACAAAAGTCAAATTGTTTCTCGAATACCTCCTAACTTTTATACTTGAGCCGCTGACCAGAGGGTCTGGTCAGCTGTAAACATTTGTCGTTACCTCATATCAGGCAAAATGGCGGAGTACTGTGGAGGCGTTTTGCGTCGCGATGAGCCAAAAGAATTGTGATGATGACGATAACGTTACGATGATGATGCTGATGATGACGATGACAATAATGATGATGACGATTACTAAGTGCTATAACGATAATAATAATTGCATAATGCCATGAGAATAGTATCATCGAGCATTTGCAAATGAGGCTGTAACTGGGAATACAGATTTGCTCGCAGAGCAAGCTCTCATGAATAAGACGCTCATTAATTGTTTACCGTTAAAACGAATCAGATGACTTATTTGCTAAGATAATTTTTTTTATTTTTGATACTTGAAACACCCATACAACAGTCAGACCTGTTGTTTACTTTCCCGTCTGGAAAATGCGTATTAGAAAATCATACTTGCAGACGTCCAAAGGACAACAACACTGTTCTTGTCACGGTATTCGGGTTTTGCTCATAGTTTGGGTAAATAAGTCTTATTACGAGACAGTCAAACGTGCAAATACTCAGTGATCTGGCTAAATGAGGGAATTCCCATTTTCTATCCAAAAATATGAGCTTACTACCTTATGGCTCGTCTACGTACCTCATAACTAGTCTAGTGATTATACCGTAACTTAACAGCTTAACGTGATCATATATCATACATCTAGTCTAAATTTCTATGCCGTGACGTTAATCAGCCCAACTTGACAGCCCAGCGTGATCATAAACAAGTGAGACTGTAACGTAATCGCTGAGCGCGACAGCCTACAGCTAGTTAGCAGCAGTGCTCTGTTGGTTTTTCATTTCCTTATATTTTGGTGTTGCTTTGACAAAACCGCTGTCAATCAGACTGTACGCCATGTCAACTACGGTGGTCTTAGCGTCACGAAACTGAAATCCAAAATCTTCTCTTATCTTCAGAAAGAAAGGAGAATAAGAAAATAGATAAGTGAGATTTATAGTGGATGCGGGGTTTAAGACACGATGGCCCTCCGCGCTGGACTCCGCGTCTAGAGGTCTGGGTTTGGAGACTTGGCTAGGTGATAATGTTGGGTTCTTTGGCGACATTGACGAGTTACTCCCACAATGCCTCTCTCCACTCAGGAGTAAAAGGGGGTACCTGCGAATTGTCGGGGAAGCCTGATGAAATGAGGGGGGGGGGGGGTAACCTTTCCCATCTAAAGGGACGTCAGTTTAACGTGCTAGGGAAACCGATGTAAGTACGGGCTAGTTGGGCCACTTGGCTCGGTTACAAAGTTAATCTTATCACAGGCGTTTGAATTTCACGCGATAAAAGAACAAGATTGCGAATCTTGCGCTCTTGCCACTCGACCACGCCAACGACTCGTACAGCTTGTCACACATGAAACTACAGTCGAACCTTCCGCCAGCACCCCCTTAAAAAAAATACTGGTCGCAAAGAGACGTTCGAGTTATAATCAACAACCCTCTGCCTCTCCACACAATATTTTACCTTTTTCATCACCAACATTCACTTTGCGCATGTGCAAAAAAAATTTGAGAGGCTAGGGCGAGAAACAAATTTTTGAAGTCCTTCTCAACTTTCCCTTTGAGGTGATTCAACGGGTGAACCATATACACAATCGTTCAGTATCCCTCTAACATTCTCGCCAATTTACTTGTACTTTCAGTTACCTTAGTGTTGTCCAACTTCACTTCTTTGTCCAGAACAGGTACAATCATCTTCAATGTGGGATCAAACCATGATCCAATCTTTAAAATGAAATTTGGGGCTATTTTGGTGGGAACGCAGTAACCTGTGACAAAGAAGCACGTGGTTAGCTCTAGACAATACTCTTATGTATTTCCCTAACTTCAGAAAAAAAAATCAGAAAAAGAAGCCTGATAAAAATTTAAGCTTTGACGGAATTCAAAGGCAGGGCTCCCAGATACTCGCGCTACAACGAACATGGCCACTGAGCCACGTTAGGAGCGAGGCACATTTTAGAGCGTTGATCTATCCTGCAACAATCTCCAGCCCAGGCTCATTTTGGATCAGCGGTATGGTCAGTCATGATTTGGCGTCCATACTGCTGACAAGGAGCCAAAATGACCCTGGGCTCAAAATTGATTCTGTTAGGGAATCACCTTTTTTAAGGCAAAAGATTTCCTTTGACCCATGAATTAAAAAAATGAAGGAAGGAAAGGATCGTCGCAGGTGGACTGAAATTTATATACGCAATTCTCGGTGTTTCTTTCAACTAACCGAAGCTCATTCAACTCACCAACTTACCGTTTGTTCAACTTACCGAGAGGTCTAAACTCGTCATCAAGCATCTTTGCCATGTCGTCCCACCAAAAGCAAACAGAGATCGTGACATATCTGTTACCTGCAGGAAAGAAAACAACAAAACGGAAACTTGGACAGCTTGGAATTGTATATATCTCCCTTGGCAATGCCTTTCTTGACGCCTACTCTGGTAATGTAGATGGCCTGGCGCGACCCTGAATACTTATATGTTTAGGTTGGTATGAATACCCAGAACTTCTGTGCAAGAATGCACCAACAATTACCCACATGTCTCAGCGTCATGAGGAGAGTTGTTTGTCAGTCAAGGGCACTTGTTCAGTCTTGTGGCTAGTCGATTGGTCTAACTCTTATTTAGGGAGACTGATTGGAAATTACACATGTTGGCTTTTGCTTTTTACCTACTTTGATACCTTTTTCAGGTAGTACGGGTGCGGAGAACGCCCGAAAAACGTTCTACCTCCAACTCCCGTATAACTGCAATTTTTCATTATAGTAGAGAGGACATATTTAACAATTATTCCACGAGCGCACGTTGGATATGAGATGATAGATAGCCAACGAGGCTAGCCGAGTTGGCTATAATCATCTCATATCTAACAAGCGCGAGTGGAATAATTGTTTTATTAAAAAAAACGCCCCCAAGATATTAGACAAATCTTCTCGACTCTATTTTGTAAGAAGAAACCGGATGTTACAATGTACAGATATTAGATTATGGTATATTGGCTCATATACCATAATGGCTAAGCCAATAAAAAGTCTTGAATTACATTACCCAATGATCCAGTTTTTAATAAAGTCAAATAATTGGATACAAATGGCGCGAGGATTTTGACTCATATGGAGGGAGAGGCATCAAAGGTTAGTTTCCCAAGAGGGGGTATGACCCATTGCTCTTACCTGGCGCTTTCGGTGACGTCATAGCCGTGATGTGTGCTGCTGCAACATCTCTGACGTCAACTATTCCAAGGGAAAGCTTGGGCAACATTGGCATCTCACGGTTAAGGAGGCGCCTGTGAATCTGAAAAAAGGATGAAGTCTTAATCGAGCGATTTTGGATAGCCCTCTTTCGGTATTCGGTATAACTCGATGAGGTTATGGATTTGAGGAAAAGGGAAGAACAAGAATACTTCAATCTTTGAACAGTACATGCGGGATGCCTCAAAATATTACTTCAATGAATGAATTTCAAGTCAAATTCGTTACCAACCAGCTAATGTTATTTGTGTACCTCTATACTTGTGCAGTTAGATCCGTGCAACACTGGTCCCAGGATAAGCCCAGGATTGATACAACAGAGTTCAAACTTCTCATCATCTGTCAACAAAACAGGTGGGAAAGGAACAGCGTGCCGTCAGAAATGGGCTTTTATTGTTCCTTTCAACCTATGCTTCTCTTATTCGACCCTAGCATGTTTTCTGTAGCTTACCTTATCCTTTCAATCAACACTGTGATTTCCTTACAAAAAAAAAAAACATGACGTCGGCTCTAGTCTAAAAAAGCAACTGTAATCCGGGAAAGGAGCAGGCGATGAAAGAAGTAGGAGTGCAGGAGCAATGGAGCCAGCCCTTCGTAGAGCCCTAAAATTCCCTCTATCCTTTTTAAAACCAATTTTTTTAAAGGAAATTTATGAAATTTTTTTAATAGGTATGATATCGATATTCATACAATGCAGTCGCTCCAAATTTCTTGTCAGTGCAAGGCAATAAAAATGCGAATTCTGTCGAAACTTTTTTTTCTGTAATCAAAGAACACTACTGACTTACAATTTTTACATAAACTACAGTAAGGATACTTACACAGAAGTTCTCTACACACAGCCTAGACTGCATTACAATACTTAAAATTATGGTACTTACACTACTTAAAGTTACGCGTTTACGACTAGCATGAGGCCTGACCTGGTAAGTTCTTGACTAGTTCCCAAGCTGCTCTCTCTGCCCTCAACTTGCTCTTCTCATAAGGGATGCTGTTTTCCTCAGATGCCCAGTCTTCCTCATTAAAGACATGGTCTTCACCAGCACGCCCAGCTGGTGTTGTAAGAAATATAAAAACACATTTGTACCATCATGTTTTACACTGCGAAAGACTCAGTTAGGGGGTGATGAAATGAAAGGTGTTGGTTCGTTCACCTGAGCTAGCCTCATCTCCTGATACAGCTTTAATCTTGCGATTGCCAAAACAGAGTTAATCAGGTTCCTGTTTATCGACCGTTCCCATATCATAACCTTACGGGCCTGTAGCCATTATTGTAATCTAAATCTAGGGAATTTTAATGCAGGTCTTAGCTAAAGAGTAAACCAGGCTGTTTCATTCGCTGATATTTACAATGTTTGAATTTCAAACTATGAATATAGTTTATATCTGACCACTTGCAGCCCAGAGGCTGAATTACGGGTGCAGTGTAAGGTTGAGAACAGACGTCAGCATATCAGGCGCCTCTGGCAGCCGCTTCAGTCTATCGATCTCACCTTCCCACCCATCCCACCCCAGGGGAGGACATCCATCACACAGTAATCTCGTGTGTGGGAAATTAACGTCTCCTACCCCAACCCTGCAGGAGACGGGACCTCCATTTATTCGTCCCTATCCGAGAAGACTAGAATATCTAACCATTTCTTGATGTTATAGAAAGGTAGCAAATTCTTCTCAATTATTTTAAGACCTTGAGTGTTGGTCCGGCCGGGGCTCGAACCCTCGACCTCCCGCACAACAGTCCAGCGCTCTATCCATTGAGCTAACCGGGAGGGGGTTAATATRATAATTTAATAACCATAATAACTATCAATAATATCGATCTTAAATGTAAAAACTGAAGGCTGGCCAAGAAAGCCTTTCAGCGATTACTGCATCCACTCTCTTACCATAGACTGCAGCACAGGAACTTGTGAGTACAACCCTTTTTACACCGCCCTTGGTTTTGGCGCAGGCTTCAAGCACGTTCTTCGTTCCATCCACTGCGGGTCCGATCACCTCCATTTCATCAGTTGGATTTGTAGCCGGGAAGGGAGATGCCACATGAATCACATAGGTGCAGTCCTTTACGGCGCTGTAGGAGTCAAAAAAATTAAAGCCTTCAATTAACTTCTAGAATGAGAATGAAATGAAAGAACAGTACAAATCATAACAAAACAGCCTGGACAAAATATGAGTTCCTATCAGGATTCTATAGACTCAGACTCCTTTCCCCTTTCTCGGTCAGACGCCTTCTCTTGTTTTTAGTTCTGGTCTTAGAAGAACTCATGGAAAATGTCAGACATGAACGTATCAAATGGCCTGGCTCACCAAAAGGCACTGTGTGACTCAGTTCTCAGTTGGTAGAGCATCTACACGCAAAATTGAACGCCCGTGGCTCGACCTTTTGCGGAACACAAGTTCTTTACTGATCATCTCTTCTTCGACGGCAGGGCACAAAAAATATTATCATTCTTAATCCAAAAATATAAACAGTTTGAAAATTCCCATCTTCCACACTCCGGCAATTCCGTGGCTCGCAAGTAATGCGTGTACGTGAATGCGGACCTGCCTTTCTAATCCAGTCTTCCTCGGAGAGCATGACACTGCACAACGCATGTGAAAATTACATAACCTCGACGAATATGTAGTCGGCACAACACGCATTAAAATAATTTTATTGTTTTTTACGTAAATCGCTTAAGGAAAGGTCAATGGAAAAAATTAAATCCAAAACCTGGTGCTCTAAAGGGAGAAAAATTGATTTACGTTTTAGAAGCTACTTTGAACAAACTGATGCATAATATGGAGATTTTGCAAGAATGTTTGTTTTCTTCCCTCCACTGTGTCTAAGAAAACCTTGAAATTTGAACGTTTAAATTGAAAACAGATCTCGGGCACAAATTCCTGTTTCCTGTCGATAAGGTTTAGAAGATCAAATGAAATCATATTTTTCGCCAGTGAAACGTCGCACTTACAGTAAACAATTGGTTGATGAAAATCGCCAAAGAAAATAAACAAGGCGACACGTCCATGATAAAGCCAGTACGATGCACACATCTCACCTTGCTCTGAACGAGATTTGCATCAGCTCCGCTCAGTAATCAATCCAAACTTCCATAAATTCAGACTCCAAGAACTAATATTTAATTTTACCGACCAACATGCGGAAATTTTCGGTGCTAGAGCAGCTCAAAGGCTTGCGTGACTAGCGGTGAAGGGGTGTGCCAATTAATGCTTTTTTTTTTTTTACGCACTACGATACGACCTGCAAGATTATGATCAGAGGAAATTACCGGTGAACTGACATTGATCCAATACTTACTCAATCCAAGATTCTTTCTTGGTAAGATCCGCCTCGACTAATTCAAGCGCTGAGGACAGCTCTTTTAAAGGCTTGACCTTCTTTTCATTTGTGAGACTTCGAACCGTTCCTCGCACGACGTATTTCCCTGAGTCAACCAGCTGCTTCACAACGTGCATCGCAAGGAAACCGGACGCACCAGTTACAAGAACTCGCGTCATTTCGTTGCTGTTAATTCAGAAGGATGAAGAAGAAGCCTAAGGTCAAATTTAGCAATCGACTGTGCTTATTGAGCGGACTGATAATCAACTTGACGCCTCTTGGGTGTTTACTCGAGTTAGTCCGGAAGCGCATGAATCGGACTGGATCTGATCATATAGTGGATGGCGGAACATGCGTTAGGCATCGGCACGACCAATGTATGCTAATTCCTCATTCAAAATTTAAAAATTTCTTCTTTGAAATAATTGGACCTCCTTGTTAGGACTAAATTGATAACAAAACGAGGTGGCAGTCTGAGACTTGACTACAGATAAATGGATCAATCAAGCTGATATGTCAAATGTGATAGTGTCAAGGGTATCCGTAACTATTTGATTCGAAATACACTTTTCTTCGCTTGACGGCCTCATAAGTTGTATTCCTGCTATAGGTGGTTTGCAAACAATCTCTAGAGACACAGGTAACAATGGCGAAAGGAGTAAGTGCTGGTGGACGAACAAAAGAAGCTAATGAGATATCTATTCATATGGTGCACGATCCTCGCAGTAGATAGCGCTATTTAAGCAATAGCGAAAATCAGACCTGAAAAAATNAAAAAATATTCATATCTAGTTGGCTCCTAAACCCCTGTAAGATTCTCAAAATGGTGCTCTATAATGTAATCTCGGAACGAATGAACGAGACATTCAAAATTCATTGTTATCATCAATATTAGAGTAATTTATCATTATCGCGATTATTTAATCCAAGGATATGTTTTTGGTCAAATTAGTTAATTTCATCACCGGATAAATCATAATTTTCTTCTTGCCCCGCGTTTATTACTATCTTTGTTGCATTATTTTTTAATGATCCAGACTTTGAACAATTAGCATCGTGGCGGGGAGGAGGATGAAATCTCTGGTTGGTTAATCATTGAAAACATAAACTGCATTTGCATAAGTAGTTAAATTGTCACGGAGTAATGACTAAACAGCTAACGCCATTCGCTTTGCTATGCAATAATCAGATATCAACCGTGGCTTATGAACGAACTTGAATTCTGGACAGTATTTTCTGAGGAATAACATGTCTTTTCTCTCGATTAAACTAAAGTGGAGCGTTTCAAAAAGGCATTTTTAAAGCGATCGCTTACTCGCTTAGCAACCGAAAGGGAAGGAAATGAGGAGAAAGGTATCGAAAGTACGACGAAAGCTTTCTACATCCAAAACCGCTGGAGAGATTAATCCGTAGCTGAGTGTGAATGCACCATGGATTTTTGACTCATTTGTTAATTTAAATTACTCTGATGTTCAACTGACATTGTCCGCTTCGTCGCAAGGAAAATATTATTCACCATGGCGAGGAAGAAGAAAGGAACTTCGACGAGTCGAATCTGCGCTGTTGTTATTATCCTTGTTTTAGCTGGGACGTTGTTAATGAATATATTATTCATCTTAAGCGCCACTTCTCGAGGTACGTACCAGGAGAAGGAGCCGAAGGAATATGACGACTGGTTCCATAACATTCCGCAAATGTCAATTGCACCCGCGGCACAATATTGGAAAAATGAGAAGGAAAGCTCGTTATCTCGTGAAGGTAAGCATTTCAGAGGATGTTCTCGCTTCTCGAGCTCGAACGTATATATTTATCTTAGTCTTGCGCGCCTTTGAGTCATCCATAAGATGTACAACACATAGATTTGAAGAAAGTTGCTTTGCCTTTGCCATCTTTAAATTCAGTTTAATATAGCTTATTTACATATCACAAACTACATTTTGTTATCATTTGAACAAATCAATTTATAGAAGGTCAAAGTATGAATTTATTTATAGAATTTAATAACTGCGAGCTGGGCAATATTCGGATGAATTAGGTACAGACGATCGTTTATTAATACAACGCTTTTGCTGGAATTTTTACTTACGAGTCAAAGTCATCGACGTGGATAGTATAATTTTTACTTAATGTGACACGTCCCGTTAATTTCCTCCGTTATGATGTTGCTACCTAGATTTTAAGTGCTACGGTTTTGAAGGTTTCCTATCATTACGCATGGAAAGCGAATGAAATTCTTACTCAATTTTCTATTGATTCTCATACTAAGAAGAGCAAGATTGTGATTGCATCGCTCACCTGTTGCAGTGCATTTGAATATTTATTTAATTAAATCAACAATTTACATATAGCTGTTGTTGGTTTTTTACCCCTCTCTTTTTCTCTTCTTTTCCGTTTTCCTAATCTTCTCCTAGGGAATGGTCTGCTGAGTGTATCACAGAGTAAATATCTAGATTTAGAGGTTTTCTCAAGTAAAGAAAATGTTTCGATCACCATTAACGGAAAAAAGGTATGAAAAAAATGTCCTCATTCAGGGTTTAGACACTTAAAAAGCAATATGGCGGAGTTCCTGTGCAGCCTCTGTGGCTAACAAAGTTTTTTAGGCCCCTGAAACCGTTATTTCATCGATAAATTATCAGTAGTAAGAATAATAATAGTGTTAATAATAACAATAATAATAACAATAATGATAATAACGATTTTTTT